TCAGCTCTGCAGGCACAAAGATAGATTTAACTTGGCTACGTAGCAGAATGCAATGCCTTCCCCTACCAGCAGAGGAAAAAAGTTTCCTACCAGAGCCAAATATTATGACACTGAATGATTTGCACAACGAGGCTTCTTGTTAGTGAGTCATAAAAACAACAGTGAATGCATGAGAGACAGGGCAACCAATATAATTCCTCTCTTTAAAAAGCTGCACAGAGATTATACAAATTTGCAGTAATAGGGAAACTGAGTGTCACAATAATTGAAAATAGAGGGAACTGCTGCATCAAAAGCTTGCAGTGATAAAGCAAGTGATAGACACATAAAATAAATAAATGAATAATGACTGCTTTGGGGAAAGTTTTCTACAATATTCCCCCAAAAATATTGTTGGTGAGCATCCCTGATACCTTTACGCTGCAAGGAATGCAAGCACTGATTATCACCAGCAGAGACCAGGTTAGCATGGTAGCAGTGCACAAGTCGAAGATCTGATGACATGGAAAAATGTAGCCAGAACTCACCGCCAGCACATGCAGTGAGCTGGTGAGGCACTGGCACTGCTGCCCAGAGAGCTGTGGGTGCCCCATCCCTGCAGGCACTCCAGGCCAGGCGGGATGAGGCCCTGGGCAGCCTGAGCTGGTGGGGGGCAGCCCTGCCCACGGCCAGGGGTGGCACTGGGTGGGCTTTGAGCTGCCCTCCAATGAGGCCCTTCTATGGACTGCAGACCGAAGACACAGGGATGGAGCACAGATAAACAGGCAGGAAAGTGGGGAGGTGAGAATGTCCAAAACAAGCCTGGGATGTCCTCATTCTGATAACAACGTACACAAACTCCACTAGAGACAATGGGAGTTTTCTCAAAAACTGCAGCAGAACCAAGACTTCACCGCAGGACTGAATGAGTAAATGATCCTGTGAATTCCTCTTCCCAAACTCTCTTCTTTCTTCAAACAGACAAGCTGGAAAATGCTCCATATGCAACAGAAATCTGGCAACCTTTGGAAAGCTCCCACTACGTTGCCTTCTCTGAGTCATTGCTACACAAACAAGAGCTGCCAATGTGGGAGACTTTGGGGTAAGACTCCAGCAAGACAGAAGAAACAAATACCAAAACAAGAGAGACAGTATTCAAACAGCTTGCGTGGAAGAACAAATATTGACTGGAAAAAGCCAGCTCATTCTCCTCCTTGTGAGGGTGGATCTGGCACAGAGGAAATGACACTGGGCTGAACAAGGAAATGTCTTAGCAAATTCTGGAATGTGATACTGGAGTTCTGAGCTGCACAAGGGCTCTGCTCATGAACAAAAGCATCCCCAGTCTAGCAAACAGGCTGCAAACTCACAATAAATTCACATGACACCAAGAGTAAACAGGGGTGCGTAAAAATGCAGTCCTATCAGCCCTGTGTCTGTAGGCAAGCACCTTGTAAACTCTTCTTTGCCTACATTTAGAAGAAAATACCTCCCTGCCCAAATACTATGAGATATATGCTGTGACCAGAAACCCAGGGCATTTTTATGATGCTAAAAAAGGAAAAAAAATCCTACAGCTATCAGTTCTGCTTTGTTATCCACTCTCACACAAATTAGATTATCCATTTCCCTGCCAAAAGAGTGGTGGAAGACTGCACGTCTTCTTCTCAGCAGCTCCCAACTCCAGAGCTGCTCTTGCTGGATAAGGCCCACACAGCTGTGGCTTCTGCATCAGCCCCTGTACAAGAACAACTATTTGCTTTGGACCAACAGAAATAAAGTATCTGACAGTCAATTCTGCTAGATTGAAGACAGGAAGGCTAAGTGAAAGGAGGCAGTTAAGCGAGCCTGGAAGGGATGAATGGGACTGAAAGCAAAGATTTCTACCTGTGTGACCCCACTTACGGGTGAGTTCTTACAGCCACAGGTTCCAGAGACAGGTCAGCCTAACAGAACAGGTCTATTCTTTGCAGTAAACCTCTCCATTTGCAAACTGCTGTCCCCATCCCTGAGAGCTGCAGGTGGCCATCAGCCTGCCAAGGATGCTGCATGGGAAGCAGGAAAAGCTGAAGGATCATAACAATGCTTGGAAGCCGAGAGTAGATTAAGCTTTTCTGTCAGCAGTCCCTCCCAATCTTCTCCTCATCACCTGAGCCAAGCAACCTCCTCACACATGCACAGTTCTCTGCTCCACCTCCTCCTTTCCTCCATCCCCACACTTTACCCCACTCTCCCTGTATATCCCCAGCTGAAAAGACACAGACTGCTCCTAATGCTGCATCTGCACATCCTCCCTCTGCTCTGGAAGTCCCCAGAGCATATTCCTGAGAAGCTGTGAGCTGAGGATTGCACAGCTGCAGCAGTACTGAGCAGAGTCCAGGAACACACACTGCAATGCGCTGTGACATGTGAGCAAGGACTGCACCTGTCTCAAAGATTTTGCAGCTGGAAGGAATGTTAGAGATATGGAATGCAAACTGCCCCAAAATCAAGGTGAAAACCCAAGTCTCTAGATTTGCTACTGCTGTGCCTTGACCGCTGGGCTGGGCTCAAACCCAGTCGGGTATGGGCAACAGCCAATGAACTCACCACAAAGCCTTCATCCAGCAGCCCTGCTGTTGCTTCTTGCTGATTCAGACACAACATGTTAAAAGTGAACTGCCCCAACCGAGGAGAAGGAGGGCACTGAAAACAGGAAAGGTCCAAACAGCCTCCTGGTTGTATGGAGGAGAAACAGGGCTGGGTTTTGCAGCCCAGGGCAGCATATGGACCACGTGTTCTGAGGCAGAGGAATGGCAGTGATCTGATTTCTGCCCTGCTCCTTCTGCTCTAAGACAGTGTCTCGCTCCAATTTATAGGAGGGAGATGAGGTTCTTTAATATCTGTATACCCGGTGTGAGATTAAGAAACAACGGTTCATATGTTGTTCCATCCAATTTATTACTAAGACGGGAAGGGAGACGGGGAAGGGAAGGAGTGCGATAGAAAAGATGGAAAAGAAGCAGGAGTTGCGTAAAGCGGGGATAGTCACCAGCAGGATCCAGCAGCGTCCCGTTGCACGGTGTTTGAAGGTCCCGGGCAGAACGCAGCAGAAGACGGGGAGCAGCAGCGTGGCCGGCACTGGGCAGCAGGCAGGTAGACGAGGAAGTCGAGGAGCCAATTCTTGAAGCAGCAACAGCGGTCAGGCAGCAGGCTCCGGAGAGTTCGATAGTATGCAGGAATCACCTCAATCTTCGGGAATCCCTCTATCTTCAAGAATTCCTCTCTCTCTCCGCTCTTCTTCATGAGGAATCTGTTGTCAGAAACCTCCATTCTTCTTGAGGAATCTGTTGTCAGAAACCTGCCGTTCTTCATGAGGAATCTGTTGTCAGAAACCTCCATTCTTCTTGAGGAATCTGTTGTCAGAAATCCTATCCTCGTGGTTTTCAGTTCCTCTTTTATCCTCCTTGTTCTCCTGCCTACGTGACAAGGATGGGCTTCGAGCAAGAGTCATTGAGTACCCCCTGAGATGGCCATCATCCGGAGATAGGTCCACACAAAGAAGCACTTCACAGCTATTTAGCTGCAGCTCATCTCGCTCTCGTTGCCCCTGGCCTTGTCCATCTGCATTCCCCCAGACAAAGGATTTCACAAGCCTTGCTCGGGACTTGTCTGGACTTGAACAAGTCCATCTGTGTCCCCAGCAAGCTTTGAGACACAGAAGTTAACAGAATAATAACTTACAGAGTAGTATCTTACAGACAGTCTTTCCAACCAGCCTGTTTAAGCACAGGGCAGAGGAAACCTCCTGAGAACACCTCTACCCACTCTTGGCAGGACAAGTATTACACCAGTGCCACAGGGGACTATTAGAAACCAGAGAAGGCCAGAGCAACCTTCTCTGTGCTGCATGGAACATAAAAAGATTGCTCTGTCCTACCAGAAGTTGTCTGAAGGCTGTTTCTGATATATTTATAATCATATATAATATATATATGATATATATATATCGTTATATATTATAATATATATAATCATTATATATTTGTAATTCGCCTTCCAAGCAGGATCCATAGAGGTCCAGGGCAAGCAACAGTACTGCAAGAGAACACAGCTCCCTAGCTCCCTAGTCAGACCCACCTAATTACGTGCACATGCTTGGAGGAGATCCAGGAGCCTCCACCTTCACCTCAGCATCTTCCCTGGCCCCACATGCCCTGGCTGCAGCACCCCAACCCTGCACTGCTGCTGCCCCAACACAGAGCTGGGCAGCAGGCAGCAACAGCACTGTGTTTGTATCCAGAGTCCTCCTGGGTGCTGCTGCTGGACCCTGTGCATCCACACTGACCTTGTTTGCTTAACAGACACAGCTGGAGCTTGCAAAGCAGACAGATGGGGCCTCCTCAGTTCTTCTCCAGGCAAGCAGGTGGAGACACATGAAGTTACTCATAGGAAAATGCGGAATCTTAGCAGGGCTGGGATGATAATTAGGTTTGGACAGATGCTGGAGGAAAAAGAAATTCACAGCTCATTCCCCCAGCAGCATCTGCAGAGATGGGAGCTCAGAAGAACAGAATTCCATTACCAGGGGTTCTCTCAACCACCACCACTTGAAGCCCCTCTTACAGCAAAATAAACACACAGCAGACCCACTCAGTACCTCCTGCTGGATGTCAGGTGGACCCAAATACTGAGAGAGACTCGAAACTGAACGTCATTGTAGTAGGTACCAAATTTCATTCTGATCCCTGCAGCATTACACCATGCTTTACAGAGATCTGCATGCTGTAATGCAATACAGGAAGCTGCCTGCTCCACACACCTCGACCCCTGAAGAACAGAGATGAAGGCTACAAAAATCAATCCAAGTCTGCAGGCACTGTCCCAGCACGCTCCCCAGCAGGTATGGCACAGCCTCCCTCCCGCCCTGGGCTAGGAACCCCTGGAGCAGTCTCTGGTCTGATCGTTCATCCCCAAGGTTGCTAGCCACGAGATTTTATTTTTTTTAATACAGATTATAAATTAGCTGTTCCAAACCTGTCTCCTCGTAACAAGATCATGCATTTGCTTTAATAAAGGTCAAAGTAACAACAAACAAAAAATGTGAAGGCCCTCCCCACAAGTTTGCTAACGAAATCAGAAAAGCAAACTACAAAACCCCTTTACAAATGTGCTTGGGGATTTTTTGGACATGGCTTCACCTTTTGGAACAAACCTCTTTGCACACGCAATCGCATTCAAACTGGGCAGTGTACAACAGCCCTGACTTATGAATTAAACTAGAGGAAGGTGGAACAGCCACAGCCACTTAAAACACATCTTTACTGCACTGTCTTTTCACATTAAACATGAGATTAAGGGCTACAACAGCATAGAACAGTTGCACAAACAGCACCAGGGAGAGGTGAAGCTGATTCTTCATTAAATAAAGAAATATTTTTGTTTCTTTATTTAAGGTCAGAGATTAGCAAGGGGAGAGGAAACAAACAGGGCCACAGATCTGATTTTGGCTCAGCACTGCAGGGCCCTGTTTGACGTGTGTTTGCACAAGGGGAAGTGCAGGCTGAAGTCTGGGAGGGAATGCTGTGAGCACAGCCCCAAACCAACTCACGCAGCACACCAACTGCACAGCAGAAATCCTTGAGCTCCACATTTGACTCTTAGGATACCCACATGGGGGTAAAGTCCATTCTCTGAGCAAGGCCAGGACACCAACATCGCAAATGATCCCCCTAAACCTTCCAAGTTTAAATTCACAGTCCCAGCTTCAGTCTATTTCCCCATACAGTGGGGGTAGCACACTGCATTCTCCAGGCTGCCATCAACCAAAGTGCCTTTGCTCTTACCATATGTATATAAGCTGTCTCTATCAGAGCACAATGCCATTGAAAGACTTTCCAAAGAAAGGCAGAGGATTCAGAATGCTTCTCCCTACATTTCCAAGTTTCTCTTACAGTTCAACCTCTGCTTTCTCTGCTTTCTCTGCGCAGCATCAGAGAGATGGGGAGTAAAGCTGGATTTTCCACATGCCAGACTACAACCTGGAACAGAACCTGATATTGTAATTTCTTTTTATTTTCCATTTTTCTTTTTTCTGGTATAAAAGGTAGGGAGCAGCAGAGATAGTATGTTTGTAGATGGTGCTGGATGTTCCAGCTGGTTCTAAACCAATAGGTTCTGTGCAGGCATAGCAGACACCTGGCTCTGCGAACTGAAAGCAGATGATGTATCCTTACAGCAGGAAGCTTGCAGAGTAAAATCACTTCATGGAAATCTTTATTAGTGGATCTTACAAGCACAATCTTTCAGAAAGGAAACTGAAGAAGGCTTAGGCAGCTGTCCCAGAGTGTCAGTTGGTTTTGTTACCCAGGTGTGTTGCTAGCCTCCCATTTTTCTCTTGGTTTGTTTCGATCTGCGGGATTTCAGAATAGTGTAGTTTGCATACTGTGTGTACCTTTCTGAGAGGACAGGGACGTAGAACGCACGCAGCAGCTTTGAAGACCTGAAACCAGAAAGGGAATAGATCATTCTTAACATATTCATTAGTTCAAAGCAACACAAAAGAAAGTTTGCAAAATATCTGTGCTGGTGAGTGATGTAAGGAATGCCAATGGAACAAGCATACCAAGCCCAGTCCCTTTTTCTTCTTGTCCATGGGACCAAAACTGGTTTGTGCCAGCATCACCAACTTGAGGGAGTCAGCTTGCCTGCTAACCATTCCAATAGGATGTTAGAGTGAGGTATTTATCAAAAGGAGGGTATTTATCAAAAGCAGCTTAGTTCCAGGTTATCAGGGTCCAAAGAGCAGACAGTACAGCCCTGTGGGCCTTCAGAATCATACAGCTGCCTCCCACTCATCAGGGCACATCCTGAAGGTGAAAGATAGCAAGGCCATGTTTAACTCCTGGCATTGCCTCTTCTCTATCCAATCTTTCTGATCATCTATTCTTCCACAAGTGCCTGAAGGCAGACAAACTTTGATGAACACAGAAATTTTGGAGTTTTGCTCTTTTCACAGAATCATAGAATCACAAGCTTGGAAAGGACCTACAAGATTTAGTCCAACCATCCTCCCATCAACACTGCTACCACAAGCACTAAGCCGTATCTCATAGGCACCTCTTGAACACTGCCAGGGACGGTGACTCCTCCACCTCCCTGGGCAGCCATTGCAGTGCCTGACTGCTGTCTGAGAGAAGAAGTTTTTCCCTATGTCTAACCTAAACATCCTCTGGTACAACCTGTGGCCATCTCCTCGGGTCCTGTTTGTTACCTGCAAGAAGAAGCCAAACCTCTCCTCACCACAGCCTCCCTTCAGGTAGTTAAGAGTGCAATGAGGTCTCCTCGGAACCTCCTTTTCTCCAGACTGAACAATCCCAGCTCCCTCAGGAGCTCCTCATAAGGGCTGTGCTCCAGATCCCCCACCAGTTTTGTTGCCCTTCTCTGGACACGCTCCAAGGCCCCGCTGTCTTTCTTGTAGTGAGGGGCCTGAAACTGACATATAAAAATATGAATCCCTGAAAACGTCATGGCAAATGATATCACACCACAGCGATAAGCTCAGTCTTTGTGCCTGCTAAGCAACAACTTTCTCAATAAAATAAAGACTCCAGGATGGACAAAGGCAAGGTAGTGCTCTCTGCGGCTGGTAACAAAGGAGCAGAGTCCTGGAGGCCTTGCTTCTAGTAAGAAGTTCACAGTTGATGATGCTTCTGCAGCACAAAAAGCATGAGACAATTCTGAAGTCAGACAAATCTTTACCTCTTGCCACCTCACTTCATCAGACAGATAGCGCATGGAAGGGGTGAAGATGACAGATGACATATATACAAAGATGGCAGTTAACATATATAATGTTCTATTTGCATTTGCTTCTAAATTTGGCCCCAGGAGGTCATGAGTGTGTAGCCTCAATCAGCACACTGCTCATAAGCAATGTGTTGGTGGCAAGATGAAGTCCACAGTCACTCCAAGCTACATAGAACACTGCTACAGAAAGGCTGTCTCCAGGTCAGAGCCAGGCAACAGGCAAATTCTGCTCAGGTCTTGGAGAGCTTCAAAGATGGCAGGGTCAGGTTATTTGTTTCTAGAGAAACAATAGCTGCATCACCCAGAGCAGTTTCCACTTGGGACAGAGGTGCACTGCAGACAGTAGGCCCAGCAGAACTGGGAGCACAGTTCTACTAACACCAGTGGAAGCAAGGATAAAGTGAAGATGTTCATGTCACTACTCCCAAATGCAGAGATTGACATGGAGTGGAAGCAGTTGGAAACATATGAGGGTGGGGGGGGTTCTTCCTAACTGCGTCTTGCAACCTAAACTTCTCACTCCAGACAATTTAGAATGAAGCTTCACAAGGAAGAAGAGAAGGGAATGCCAGAAAGAACAGGCAGTAAGAAGCTCAATCTATGCCACACGAGTCAGACCTCACACCTTCAGGACACAGGTGTGCAACAGAAGCTCATGACCAAAGCTCTCTGAGAATCTCTATGCCCCAGATGAGTGATCCAGCTACTTGTAAAATAAAAGCATGGAAACCATTTCATGAAATAAGGAAACCATCACTGAGGGGAATGAGAAGGTCACCTATCAAACCAGGGTAATGATATTCTAGCATAAGGTGACTGAATCATTAATCTTACACTAAGAATACCTTTTTTTTTTTTTGTGATGGAGCATCTATGTGTGAAAGCACAAGTGTTTGGAGTGAGCGGCAGCTCAGCCTAAAGAGCTGGAAAATGGGCTCCTCTGCAGGGAGCTGTCAGCTATTCCCCCTCTCCTGTGCCAGGATTGGAGTGCTCATCCAATATAGAATTAAATGGACCTGGACAAAGCGGCTTCCTGAGGAGCATAATTGCAGCTTGGAGTGCTCTCTAATTCAATTAACAGCATCAATTATCAGAGCCAGCTGAGATTTACACTTGCTGACATCAATGTGAGACAGTGAGTTCCAGAAGCCTCCAGTTCAGCAGGAGCATGTTTATTTTCAGAGAACAAGATCTGCAGGGATTTTTGTTCTCTAAACTTCTGTTTTCTAAACGTTCCTTGTCTGCAGACACTGAGCTGCAGACCTGAAATCTCCACTGCCTGCTTCCCTCACAGCTCAGTTTGAAGTAACACTCTTCTATTCCCTCCTCCCGTTTATCAAAAAAAGCTGCATTTTCACAGTGCTTTTATACTTACTTGCTAGGTAGCAAGGGGCATTTCCCACTCACTGGAGGGAAGCATGTGCCAGCTTTAAGAACTGCATCATTCCACTGAGCTGGCAGGGGGAGGGAAACGTTCAGAGACACACAGCCTGGTTCATTGCATGAAGCTCCTGATGCACTTCCACTGACCCTTCCCTCAAAACTTCACGTCACACTTGGGGAAGATCTCTCCCCACAGACCCACTGGCTCTGGGATCTTTCCAGCTCATAAATTTCCAGCACCTAATGTCTCATTCCAGCCCTTTCATCTCATTGCTTCCTCAGTCAGCATGCTCTCCAGTCTGAGCATCTGAGACTCCTTGCAACAAGTTGCTGCCCCACGATGAGATTCTACTTTCGCTACAAGAACCCAACCTGTTACTCAAATCAAAATGATCGTACAAGTTTCTGCTGCTTTGCTTAAAAATAAGTTACTATCAAGAAGCGCTCAGCTTCTTCTGGATTCAGCCACAATCCTGAGCAGCCAGACATTTATGCTTGGCAGTGCGCTGGTGTTTGGCTCTAAATAGGGCAATTATTTCATTTTATACATTTTCCCTGATAAGAAGAAGAATTAAAAAAAAAAAAAAAGAAAGAAAGAAAGGAAGAAAAAATTCGTAGAACAACTCATGGAAATAGCATTACAGCAGGGAAGAATGACAAAGACTTGCTTCACTACCAAGCTATGCACTTCTCTCCAATGTAGTAACTCCTGCTGATCCTAGGCAGCACTGCAAAAGCACCTGTATGTATCTTTAAAGCAGAAATGCACAGAGCTTCAGACATTTGGGGGTAAAGAGCAGCAAAAGGAGTCCTCTGCAATACTCATGCAAATGCTTCTTTTGCCTCATTAGTGAGAGTCATTGGCCACCTTATTCTCCTCTCCTGAAGTCCTGCTCTAACACAGCAGCAGGTCTTTAGGCAAACAAAAAGCCATGGCAAGGAAACTCATTCGTGTCAGCAAGCCAGGAACATGAGAGTAACCCCACGAAAAAGCATATCATCACTATTTCTCACTGTCTAACTGCTTTCACCAGCCCTACTCCCTGGAGGGATCTATTAAGAGGAAGTAATAATGTCTCATATAGAATACCAGAGGGCACTGAATCCTGTGCTGTCTGCCCCGATATGACAGCTACATGGCCAAAGCTTTAAATGGCTAAATACCCATCTCCAAAGAGCTAAGAGTTTCTGTCTTTGTAGGAATGTATTAGAAATACTCTCACTCTCACAAACTGGATTCCACAGTTTGCCTGGAGGATAGCAATTTCAACCCCTGCAGGACTAACAAAGAGCTGATTCTGACAGAGGTCTGCTACAGCAGCTCTCCAATGTCTAATAAAGGTGACACCCTGGTCACTTGCACTCACTGTGGCCGCCTCCTCTCTTCATCTGCCAGCTTCATAAAACATACAGGAGTTCACTCTGAGACTGACTTACATCTATCTATCGAATTTGGCTGAAACAAGACTGCAGATTCAGAAGTCTGCTGGGAAAAGATGATGTAGACCTTACTTCTTTAGAAAGGAAAAGAAGAAACATTACATCAGCAAGAAGCACAAAGGATGGACTCCTTTTAAAAATAATCCTCGTTCCCCTCCTCTTCCTGGCTTGCTTCACCCTCTAAAGCAACCTAAGTAATTAACACTGCACATACATCTTTGACAAAGGTTATAATGTGGCGAGCAAGCTGCCCTTAGATGAAACAGGATTTTAAGCTGGCATTTGCCATTTTATCTTTCTTTCCTGCATACAGCTGCTGTAAGCAGACTACTGCACAAAATCAGTTCACAGATCTGTCAGTCTGTCACTAATTTCAAACAATAAAACATACCTGGAAGCATCTAGGAATGGCTTGTAGGCAATGGTTACCCACTCCTCTTTGTTGGAGGAGTATCTTGGCTCCCTTGGGGCTTCAGCTGCTGTATCCAAGTCCACTAGATAGTGGCATTTGGAAATGTCAATCTGTAAAAAGAAAGACTCTTGCTGTTTATTTCCTTTAGGCTAATGATTGCATGCATTCATATAGGAATTTTTATTCATAAAAGCTGTTACACACCTATGAGAATGGGCTTAAAATTTCTAGCAGCATAAGAAATACTTTATGGTAAAAGATTCTTAGTGTATTCAAGTAAAACTTTTACTGAGGAATAAAAGCTCTCACTACTGCTACCACAGGAGGAGAAGCCTGGGCTGTCTGTATGAGGAAGTAGCACTGCTAGGTACATTGCTGAGGAACCTCCAAGTCACAAAGGGAGAATTTGAGGCAGTAGAAATAATTCTGCTGGTGTTTGACTTGAGGCTGTCTAACAAACTCTTAAAGACTTCTCATAGTGCTGACTCAATGAACTCCCCAGACAAAAGACATTATCTTCATTGCTGGAAAGGTTTCCTGGTGTCTAAACTGAATATTTATTTTTTTGTCTCAGTTTTTACTCTTTCCTACTTGTTTTACACCACGAACAAGGAAAATAAACCCAATAAATGATTACACAAACTCCATAACTAGTTAACTCCGCAAGTCCCAAGGTACTGACCAAGCCATGGAAAGCAAGCAGTTGCAGAACAGCAAGCATGTTATCTAGTGCAAATCACGCTGGGCTTGTGCAGGAATAACCTGGTCTGTACCCCTGGTGACCCTCACCATCTCTCTTGCAGTAGATGGACACCACATTGCACCTCTCAGACCACATGCACTTGCTGTCAGTGCAGTCATGCTTTTGTCAGCTGCCTATGACTTAATTAACTGCTTTGCCCTGACCAAAATGTTTGGGAACACTTGGTTAAATTATGAAAATGTATTCAAGGTAGCAATGTCATCAATGATTTGTGTGTGTGTGATCTCCCCAGTAAAATGAGCTGTGGGCAGTGTCCTCAGTGTCCTCGCATTGTTCAATCTGTTTCCTTCCAGTGGGGAATTGCTCTTGGGTATGAGCAGGGAATATTGTTAATTCATACACAGCACTGTCCTTTTTAGGCAACAGCTCCCTCCTCCTGCCTGTTTTCCTCACTCCTTCCATGTTCCCCTGCAGACATACATGCAAGCTGCTGAGACAAATATCAACTATCAGATATAGAGAAGATTTGAGCTCCTATCAGGACAAACTTCCTTTTGACAATAAGCACGAGATGTAGGATAAGTTCTGTACAAGGCAGCTCAACACAAGGTTGCCTTGTACAGAAACCACTGCAATAAGCAAAAAGATCAAGAGAATAAGACAGGTACATACAAATAAAGGCTCATATCCTCCTCTTGAACATCTAATTGTCTCTAAGTGACACCATAAGTCATTTTCAAAAATGAATTGAGAACTCTATAGCCCGAGGCCATGTTTACATTGCATCAGGGTGGCTGCACCACTGCAATGCACCAGTGAATGGAACCTCTCACAGGTACAGCAGCAAGGCTGATCTTCTGGTGGCATCATGACTCAGCCACTGGAGCAAAGCAGCTCCTAGCACTTATTGCCTCTGTACCTGCATATTGTGCTGGCACTAGGTTCACTCATTCTCACATTTGGCACACAGACTGATCTTTCTGGCAAAAGCTCACAGTAGTGATCTCAGAGGCAGTCATGGCCTCCCACATCTGCCTATCCTGGATGTCCCATCTTTAGTGTTTCTTTCTGTCAGCTAAGAATGTCCAGAACTCTTGGATGCTTCTGGTTTTCCTGGCCTGCTACCCCCCTCCTTGCAACATGTCAGTGCTCCCACATACCAAAGGGTCTAACAGCTCCCATTCTGGTCATTGAGCATTGAACATTAAATTGTAGTGGTGCTTTGAAATTTCTGAAAAAAAGGCACCAGTGGAATACAGAACAACGTGGTAACTATAGGTTGCATCCTCCACTGATCAGGATATTTTGATCTGGGAAACAAAGGAGTACTAGAATAGATACTTTTAGATACAGAAAAAAACCTAAGCAGAATCTTTACTCAGGTTAAGTGGAACAGAAGATAGTTTGTAATTCCTGGTCAATAAACAACTGCACTCTGACAGCCTCCTTAGCTGCATTGATGCTTCACCCCTGTGAAATGCAAGGAAGAGAAGAAAGACTGATTTTCTGACTGCCCAAAATGTAAGTAGATTTTTTTGCCACCTGATGGCTCTGTGGCATCACAACTGAACGGTAAATGAACGACACCACGGGAAGCTCAGCTAATGAGAACGTTGAATACATTTCTTGCACTGCATCAAAAGAACGTTCCAGGCCCTGGGAGAGGACACCCAAACCACTAACCAATATATACATACATAACATATACACATATGTATATATTTCCTCTAAGTTACATAGAATTTCTTGGAGAAACAAAAGTAACTGCTTTGAGTACTAAGGCTGATCTGACTTTTACTCCAAATGCTGCACCTCCAGTGCTTAGGAATCACCTGCCACATAGAGAGACTCCCACTTCTACCATTTCATGTAGAACACAGTGTTTGCTTACAAGTCACAGTGAAGCAATAACAACATTCATCCTGGTCAGAGGGCCAGCACAGCTACGCATCTATTTGAGGATGTACACAAGATTTTAGTGGTGCACAGATCTTGAAGTGTTTCTCTGCAGAAAATCAGCCTCAGTGAATTGAATGAGAAACAAACTTCTAACTGCACCCTACTCCCTTCAGTGCTACTTTCCTTTTTCTCCTCCCAGTCTTTTTATTTGATGGAACTAAGTGATGGAGAGCTTGGTTTGCTCACATTCCAAACAACAGGGGAGAAGACTGAAGATTCATTCTGCTCTTCAATTCTCAAGCAGAACAGTAATAGATGCTCACAGGTGAAACACTGAAATCAGTCTCACTCCTGCAGACATTAATTGGTTTCAAGCTGCCCATTACTCAGACCATTCTTCTGAACTGTTGTGGTTTTTGTTTTCCTCTCTTTTAAAGGGCCAACGCACACATGCTATTTAGATATATTTGCTAGGATGGTCCTTTGCAGTTCCTAATGACTTTTTTTTTTCTTTTTTTTTTTTTTAATCTGGGTATGCCTACAGTTCTTGGGGAAAGATCCTGTTTCTCCTGCTATTAACAGCTCGGAAGCAAAAGTTATAAAAACCTGTTTAAAATTCACATGAAATAGCTAATTTCTAAACATATTCCAGGCCCTTTTGCTTGCTTGAGAAATAGTAAAGGATGATATTATGAAACAACCACAAAACAAAAGTCTCTCATTCCATCAGTAACAGGGTATGTGCCAGCCAGCTGTCTGCACTATAAATATCTCACAGTTGAAGATTTCCTAAATTAAATGCAGCATAGCAGAGAACTTTCCTCAGGTGGGGATTTGCCTCCTTCCATTTCCAGTACCTATCTAATGAATCCCAAAATAAGAGAGCTTTCACTCAGCAAGATTTCTACCCACGTGTGTAGAAATCCTGTGTTACAGTGCTGCCTTCCATCCACTCCTCTGAGGGGATCACAAGTGCTCATGAAATGTTTAACTGGCCGGAGTAATGAGCCCCATAAAGCAGTGCATGTCCACTGTCCTCAACAAGGATACACTGCTCATGTAAAGGAGAGACCTGGTCCATTACAGGAGTGCTCCTAATGTACTGACAGAGTATCATAGAATCATAGAACAGCCTGGGTTGCAAAGGAGCACAGCGCTCATCCAGTTCCAACCCCTGCTGTGTGCAGGTCGCCAACCAGCAGCCCAGGCTGCCCAGAGCCACATCCAGCCTGGCCTTGAATGCCTGCAGGGATGGAGCATCCACAGCCCCCTTGGGCAACCTGTGCCAGTGCCTCACCACCCTCTGGCTCAAAAACTTCCTCCTAATATCCAACCTAAACCTCCTCTGTCTCACTTTCACACCATTCCCCCTTGTCCCATCACCATCCATCCTCACAAATAGCTGCTCCCCTCCTGTTTATACGCCCCCTTCAAATATTGGAAGGCCACAATGAGGTTCTCCCCGGAGCCTTCTCTTCTCCAACCTAAATAATCCCAGTTCCCTCAACCTTTCTTCACAGAAGAGCTGCTCCAGCCCTCTGATCACCTTTGTGGGGACCCGTTGAAAGAGTTCCACATCTTTCTTGTGCTGGGGGCCCCAGGCCTGGATACAGCACTGCAGATGGGGAGCTGAGTAGAGGGGGGCAATCACCTCCCTCTCCAAATATCAAATCCTCATTCACTCTTGAGAAAGAAAAGACGACTAAATATCTGTACCACAAAGAACATTCAGTGCACTTCTAAGATTTAATCTGCTACATAATTTTAAAGAAATTAGCAAACAAAAATTTAAAAATATTTTAAAAATTTAAAAATATTTAAAAATAAGCATGAACTATTTTTGTTTGGATAATACAAAAACAAGTCAGTAATACCAATGTACATTAACAGCTTCCCAGAGAAATCACTGACACAGTTGTTTCACTGATTCCCAAATTAAGAACCTCTTCCTCTGTTGCAAATATGTCAAATATATTCATATTTTAAAAGAACGTACAAAAGAAAATTCCAATCTCTGTTCAGTGACAAGTATCTTCTGTTGGGAATTTCAAACTAAGTCACTTCACTTTCCTGTGCTCACAGTAACATTGTAGTGAACTCAAAACTGCAATAACTAGGAATCACCTTTTCCTTTTTTCTTTTTCCCATCCTCTTCAAATGGAAAATAAGAAGGTGAAGTGCAAACAGAAGCCAAACTCACATCAATCAGGAAATATCCAAGTGCTGCAGAGAGCCCATTTTTGGTTTGTAACTGTACTGTCCATAGAATACAAAATGGGAAACCCAACCACATTCTAGGCACTGCATTAATATGAATGGCACAGCAAGGTGAGGAACGTAAAACAAGAATGTAATCCTCACATATCGAGATGGCTCTTCCTTGTTTTGGTCGTTCATGTCTGTGGGAATGATCCGCGTGGCCATTGGTCCCTTGGCAAATGGTTTGGGTAACTGGCCCCTGAATTCTGACAGGATGAACTGGAGCTGCCAACTGCAGAGAACAGTGTCAGAAATCCCAGCAGGAAACTGCAGGAGGCAGTCACATTTTGTACAGAATCAAACAGAAGCACAACAAAGGGAATTTCATTGCCAAGGACAGACAGCTCTTTTAGATGAGCAATCACACTACAAAACTGTCGCTAAGTTGTAACCAACAGTCTGCTGACACCAAACTTCTAAATCTTCTGTTTCGGACATGCTGTTGTCAGAGACACAAGATTTTGAAGGTTACTCCCAAAATACTTCTTGTGTGAAACAACCCTTAAGGACCAACACCAAATCATAACTTCCACGTTACACAACTCACTTGTCTGGCAGAAGAAAGCTACTTGGGAATCTGTGCCATTCCTTCCCCACGCAGACATTAATTGGTCTCCCCTCTGGCACAGTGTGAATACTTGGGTCCGTAGCAATCCTGTGAAATTCTGGGTACAGGTCCAGAGGCCCATGGTAGCCTATGGGAGGCAGCACTTTGTAAATAAAGCTAAAGAAATAGACAATATCTGCATGACTTTTTTTAACACACTACAAGTAAACGTTCAGTTATATTTTCAAACTGGTTACTTACTGAATATAATAATTTGTCTGTACTAAGAAGTAACTGGAATCCAATGCTCCCTATCCTATAAGGGATGCTTGTACTACAAAAGTTTCCTCACATTCCCCTGTTCTGACTGTCAGTGGCTAGTATCAAGCAAAAAGTACTAACTTCAATGAGGTGGAATCACACTACACAGCTGTGATTCAGGAAAGGACTTGCGTACGGACTTTAATGCGTCTCCATTAAGGACAAATGAACAATGACAAGTTTTTCATGGGAAAATGTTATTTCAAGTCAGATTGTATGTCTGCAAGTTTCAAGTCCCCATCTGCATGCCGGTCTGGGTGCACACTGTACATCATTACAGTTGTACCAGCTGAAGGCGAAGGTCAGAAAATTGTTAACTGATACAATTCTAGTGACACACACATAATGCACACCGCACACATGCATGTACACACACGAATGAGGACACCATTCCTCTCCCTGGAATAAGATGCAAGCTTTCATATTTCCTTATCCCTACCGTGCTCACCTAGTTAGACCAGCATAACTTTAGCTGGCCGTGTGACTTGCCAACACCAATACCCAGAACAAGGGTAAAATACTAACCTCTGAATAAGGCAACAGAGCGTGACAGTGACAAAAGGCCAAAGAGAAAGACAGTGCTCAGTGCCAACCAGTTGGAGGAGACCGTGTAGTGCTCCAGGCGATAGCGCTGGAATATGAAGTGGTAACACTTCTGAGGAGAGGAAAAAAGAGCATATAAACATTTCAGAGTTTGAGCAATTTTATCAAAACGGTTTTTCAAATGGACCTCTAAGCACTGCCTACATCTCCCACCAGGTCTTTGGTCCGTGTCAGCATTTTTCATTCTAACACATAAAAAATACACAGAAATTTACACGGTTCAGTCAAGTTTTTTAACTTTGAATCTAGGGTACTTATAAATTTTTCAGCTGCTCCCCCTAGGAAGGCCTCTAGTCAAGCTGTAAAGCACCCTCCACCGGAGCTCTAGCTTGGTTGTTCCCAAGTGAACCATCAGCACAGACCCTTCCAGAGACATCCTGCAGGACTTGCCTGCACTGACCAACCCTGATGACAAAAGGATGTCAAACAGTACATTAAAGTATTCATTTAGAAATACACACTAGGGATTTCTAAGACTGTATTTGGCAAGCATCCCAAACTGCTGTCATCTGGTGAACATTCCAACAAACACAAGGTAATTCTCAGAAACAAAACTTCTGACATTACAGAGCTTGATCCTGCAACAAATGCAAGGACCGAAATGCATCTGGGAAGTTCCAGCCTAGCAGTGCAAAGCAGCAGTATGTAAGGAGAGATCAAGAACCAGAAGAGCAACCAGCTGTGCTGGTGAGGGAAGCTGAGTGCAAGAGCAGAAACAGAGCTAGGCAGAACAGCTGCAACGGGCTCTAACAGGGATGAATAACTGCAATCCTTCTCTTTCACAGAGGAGAGATAATTAATTTGGAGCTTTGGGAAGGCTGATAGAATGCTTTACTCTGTGATACATCACAGCTGCTTTTTACTCAATATAGGTTTTTATTCTTCAAATGCCCAAAACAATTTTCTTACGCCTAAGCAAGGTTACTTTTTCAAATCAGTGAGACTACTCCAGCAAGTTCCTAATCGCTGTGACATCTCTTGGACGTGATGTCAACACCACAACATCACAAGAGCTCCTCACCAGCAATTCCCCCTGGAAAAAGGAAGGACTCAAAGTCATCATGAAATAATCAGTTGAGGAAATATTTTCAACTGTTTGTCACTTGACATAACCCCAGATGGGGATGTTCATAGACCATACAGACTATTAAGTCTGCGTTGGAGGCTAAGGTTATTAGATTAGATCCTTCAGCATGTTATCCAGAGAGGGAAATCCCAAGTATTTTTGCTGTTGTAATCACAATTTACAGAGGGCTAACAGATTTTGACATACTCTCAGTCAAACTATACAGGGAGACTCTGGTTTATGTTATAAAATCAACATTACACAGTTCAGTATTAATGCATTTTGCTTCCAGAGTCTCAAGACCTATCTATGAAACATGGTCCAAAAATGAAAATTAGTTAGCAGATTAAAAGTGACCAAAAGTTATGCATGGGACATTCCTGAACTATGTAATCATTACAGACTGTGTCACAACCACACATACTCTACACATATTCCCAAGCTTTCGGAAAGAGTGTTAAGAAAGGGAGCACTTAGCTCCCTAAAGCTATGAGCTCAGAACAATAAAACCCACATTCCAGAAACTTACCTGAAGAGCAGACAGAGCTACAGCACTGCAGAGACATATGAGAGGATAGATGGGAAAGAGAAACCTCTCTTCTTTGTGGGGCTGGCTGAAGAAAATTATGATCCAAATGTACATCGGAGCTAGTGTCAGCCAGTAGGGACGGCCCAGATTCTGAACTGAAAGAAACAAGAACTCAGCAGAGTAGCAACACTGCATGTTTACACCACTTTTCCTCTTGCTCGCACACCCATCGGGTGCATTATCACATTTACATTCAAAAGCCCACTCTTCTGAACCAACTCACAGCCTTCAGGCAAACGCACTGCGTTCTGAGCAGCTAAAATTCAGGTAATACATCCAGTCAGCACACAATTCTACTCAGATAACTGTCATAGCTTCCCATAACACACAGACTCTTGAAGACAAATGCAGAGATGAGTGGACGGGTCATTGAATCCACATAAGGGACAAAATCCAGCAAGAGCTGACATTCCCAGGCAGGCAGGAAAGCAGAAACTGCCTGTCCTGTTGTGCATTACGCTTCGCATGCAGAGATCAGAATGAATCTCCTCTGGATCTATTCTTTGCTTTTAAATGGCATTTTGGGCTCTGGTGTTTCCACAACCCTCCTGGCTTCATTATAAAAATAACAGCACAAGAGGTCTCTCAGGTATCTTCTGGTCAATGCAGGAAATAACTGATTCAAAAGTAACAAAAGTTACCCTGAATTTTAGTCACAATGAGGATGGGTCCCAGAGCACCTAACATTTTTCAATCCCTTTTCTGCCCCTTTGCTACTGCCAGCAGCAGAGAGAAACAATTAAGCTAACAATGTTTCACAGACAATGAGAACAGAGCGCTCAGCAGAGTGGTTCCTACTGTTAAAAGAACACCAAAATCTTGCATTCACACGATCTCCTGTTGAACTCCTACTGGTTTCTGACAGTCTGTCAGTCACATCCAAAGAACATATATTTGCAAATGGCCACTAACACACATTATCAGCAAAGATTATGGTAGTACTGTTTCTTGTATTCAGTAAAAAAATCACAGGGCAGAGCCCCAGCTGGGCAGATGAAACTGGAAGCATCAGTTGACATTTAATGAGCCCTCGTCTGGAAAATGGCAAGGGAAAATTCATGCTTTCAACACATCTTTCCTTATATAGTCATTTGCCAGACACCATGTATTCCAACTGATGTTATTTTACTTAAGAGAAAGCCCAGTAGGAAGTAAGGGATATTCTAGTCCCTCCTTTCTCTACTTTCAGTATACCCATGCCTGTGGGAATGCTTCCCAGTGCAGACCATAGCAAGACTGTCTGCCAGGGCTCAGTTCTGCAAGTAGAGAGTGCCCATTCACAGCACAGAGAGCCCAGGCTCAATCCCAACATGGGCAGCAGGAGACTCCAGAGAATGCCTTCTGGCAGGCTCAGCACCAATAAGGGAAAAGCTGGAAACAACTCTGCTCTCCCCAGATGTTGCAGTAATCATTATGGCACTGATAACAAAAGACAGTTTCAGAGAAGTGTGCAGGAAAGGCTGCCATTTCCAGCTGCAAAGACAGAAATGGCAACGTAGTTTCTTCCCACCTTAAAAGTTCTGACAGGGCTATTGCTAATGCATTTGTATGCCTGGCTGAAGACCGTGTACTGTAGAACTTGTTAAGCTTATTTTGGGTATGAATAGTTCAGCATTGACAACACAATATTATTCTTGAGGTGAAGACAGAGAACACAGGAGTCATCCTTAAACAGGAAAAGCACATTCCTGCCCTTTTGTAGACGGCATCTCACTGCCTCTTCTTTCTACACAGTAATTCCATTGTGGGGTCAATACTGAACCAAGTAATGAGCTCTAGGAATTTTGCTCTCATTCCCTAAACTTTCCCTGATCCTGGTTTCACTTCCAATAAAAAAAAGCTGCTCTTTGGCAAATCCTCCTTATTGTCTCTCATATCCGTCCTGCACTCACCATGAAATTTCTGAAGCAGACTCTCCATGAGACAAGTCAGTGGTAGCACAAGCAGTGCCAAAATAAATGCCACATTGAAATTCAGAAAGCCATTGATGAAATAGAAGGACCATGGTTCTGTACCTGAAAGAAGAGAAAAGGAAAGAGTATTTAAGCACAAGAATGCATGAGAACTGGATGTTATAGCAACTTCATTCCTTCTCTGCCTGACACAAGGAAGATACTCAGCAGCAGACAGCAGTTCTCTGCACTGCAGGTATATTGAAACCAAAGAATGGAAAAGGTGTGCACAAAAGATCATTGTTTTCTTTGTCATAAGTGACTTCACTTTTTTCCCACTGGATCATAGTCAACATCACACGTGCTGCTCATGTTTCACAAGCCACTTTAACAGTCAGACTTGCCCAGCAACAAACAGGTTCTGCAACACGGAACTCACCCCTGCCCTAAGAAAGCCTCCAAAACAAGAGGCTGAAACTTGTGAAATCAGGAATTTCTACTCCAAATTCATTCTAATTGTAGAGAAATAAAAGATACAACACAAAACCACACAATGCTAATAAATGATTATCAGCTTGGAGTGATGATGCATTTATACACCATGTCAGCAGGAACAGAAAATGGACTAAGAGGAACAAGAGTTCACATTCACACTTCACCCCAACAACTGAAGTTCATCCAGATGCCAGCTCCGTTACCTCCTCAGCAGCAGAACTTTTTTAGGCTTCCCTGGTTCGACTGATTTTAAATGTACTTTTTAACAGGAGCAAAAAACTCCACCTCCTAATACTACACACTATTAGTTGCAAGGACTGGCAGAAATTCCCAGCTAACAATCATTTAATTGGATGCTTAATTCACGATGCTTAAAATCCTGAACAGTAAGGAGTGCTGGGTCCTTGCACTTTTGCAGTGTGATTAGCTCAACCAGCCAGTGACTGACAGGATGGTGCTTAAATCACTGCATTGTTGTGACAAGAGTCAAATGCCACAGCAATTTCCTGCACCTACAGCCACTTAGAGAAGGGTCTGTGTTGCAATTAATCAGACAACTGAGGAGCAGCAAGAAAAACCACAATCCTCTGCAGCTCCTACAGTTAACATGATTAGAAGATGCTCTATTAACATCAGAATTCCAAGCAACTGAAATATACAAAACATGCAGCTGTTAGCACTAAAAGCAAACAGCAGTTACAAGTTCAGGTTTAGGGAAGCAGAGATCCTTAAGGAAGTGAATTATTAGCTCATCTTCTCTCTCCCTCCATGTGCCTCGTAATTCTTTTCAGTCTCACAACAGTACATGAGAGTCTGAATAAGAGATATTAGTCCAGAAGTAGGATGCTGCTGAAGAAAAAAAACAAAAATCACACAACCTTTTCTCTTAGACTCAAGCCTTTATGCAAACCAAAAAAATACTACAGTGCTTACACTGAAGATGATATAGGTTAATTATTCCCATCACATCAAAGCTGAGAAATCCCAGTTGCAAACCCGCAAGGCACTGGACAGCCTTCCATCTTCCCTTACAATGAAGCGCTCTGAAGTTCCAAACCCACCTTGTCCTGACCACACTGCACTGAAGAGCAGTTTCAAGCAAAATCTTTTTCTAGCCAGAGGATGTCATGCGAATGTCACTACTGTGGGAATCAAATGTTGTTTCTGCATAAGAATTGGATAATATTATTTTTATTTCATGATCTCCGCTAACATAGTTCTTTTTGGGAGTCCTTCTACTTAACTTGGGGAAGATCTCTGACAGTTTACATCACTGATCCTCTAGACGAACCTTCCCAGGAACGCACGCTCTGTATATAGGTGTGTATCTGTATATTTTGTCATACACACTGCAAGAATATCCTGCACGAGAGCAAACCAGAGAACAGTGATGGCCTGCCCGAGGAAGTGCCTGAAGAGACGTTGGGAAGGCCTGGCATCATCCCCAGTGCTCTTTGTTCAACAAAGACTTTAAAGAAAATCACTGCATTGATACGACAAGGAGAGCACTGAGACATCTTGGAAACAACAGGATGGCTGCTGACTGACACCAGGTAACAAATAAATTAACAAGTAAATGGCAAATGTAAACCTTCTGTAAGACTGTGAACCAGTGGGGAAATAGAGGAGGGGGGGAGGCAATGGGGAGAAAGCAGGGTCTAAAGGCTGCCATGTTGTGTCCATAGGCGCTCCTGCTTGCGGGACGCCGCCATTGCAACTGTGAATAAAATCTGCTGTTATCAGAATACTGTCCTGACAAACATTGCTTGGATATTTCCAAAACTATGAATAAAACCCTTCAGAAAAAAACTGGTCCCTGGAGGCTGCTGGAAACAACTCATGCTCCATGTGAAAAATGTCAGGCACAGGCTCATTCCAAAATCCAAAGGCAGAGCCTGAAGTTTTCACTGCAGAAAATTCACAGCGACAGACTTCAGAGCCTTCCTGCAGAGATAAAGGACCACAGCAAAGCAGCTGCTGCCATGTTGTGTCCCAGCACAAGGAACTCAGCACCACCCAAAACAGCCCCTCAAACAAACCATTGAATACGGCCTGCAGGGCACTGCCAGAGAAAGCCTCACTACCAACCACTGCCAAATCCTCCCTAGAATGTCTCCAAAAAGTATGACAGATGCTGCAAAGAACCTGCCCTGAGCACCCCAAAGTCTCTGCTTGTCTCTCTGGAGCCCTACCAGAAATGCAACACCCCCACTCTCCATCTCTAAAAGCACGTAGTATGAATGACTCGGTGCAGCAGCAGCTCCCAAACAAGTTCCATGGCACTGCCACCAAGATTCACACCTGACCTAGGTCACCCAGTATTCCAAGGGCCAACACCAGGAAAGTCCTGAAAGGCAGATGAGTTGCCTACTGATTAGATATCATTGATGACAACGCTGATGCTCCTTGACATTCACCAATTATTTTTAAGATCTTCAGGAATTCCACTGAGGTCACCAGCTTAGTTATTTCTCACAGCAGTAATTTCCATGTCTGCACTGTCTGAAACGGCCTTCTGCATCAATTCTCACTTTTTGCTAACATAAACCTGACAAAATGAAACATTAATACTGCTTTTAGCTCTGTCTCCTTCATAAGCTTAAGCAAAGCACCAGCTTTTCCCCTGTAAACGTAGGTAATTTTTACATTGCTTAAGGAAAAAAATAAAAAGGAGGGACTATCTATAAGCTTTTAGAGTATATAAGAGTATATTATATAGAGTATAAGCTTTAGAGTGTATAGGAGAGTATCCTGAAAGCTCTTTCCTTAAAGAGCTTCTAAAAAGATGGCAGGAGAAGCCTAAGCATGGTTATCATTACTTGTCACTGACTCTCTCTAACTTATCAGTCTTCAGAACGACTGTTTTCTGCTCAATTTGTTCATCCAAAAGAAATGGGGAGATCAGGTGTTGCCTCTGTGAGCCAAATTGGCTGAAACGCAGCATGATTCCAACAGGTTATTACCCTTTTTTTCTTCTCCAGAGTCCCAAAGATGCCTTTAACCCCACAGAACACATGTACATCAGGAACCTGATATGAACTGAAGGAACTGTGGGCTCTGCACTGCTATTTATCCTTCCAAGGTTCTGCAGCCTGACCGTGAAGAACAACGGTAGCCAAGAACTGGGTTAAAGCTGACAAATACACACATTCACGCACCACTGGTGCCTACTACACTTGTGTTACATCCAGACAAATTTGATATTAACACCACTTTGCTGTGATATTGTGTTGTTGAGACATCTCATGATGGCCGGTAGGGCTTCAAAGTGAATAAAGGCTGCTTAACTCACAAGCACAGAGAACCAGCTCGAGATATTTGACGGTGCCTTGCCAAATTCCAGCTCGAGAGAGACATCCTGTGGTAAAAGAGCTGGAATTGCAACCCTTCAAAGCTTGCAGGATGTCTCTGAGTGCATCAGAAAAAGATCAGCCATGAAAACCTGGTGTGTAACTGTCCCCTGACAGCAGCAAGGAAACCATCGCCTCCCACAGCTTATCTTAAACTCACCATAGAGATCAGGTCCGTGGGAGGTGAAGACGTTGTACAAAACAATGTTGAGAGGTGCAACTACCAGCTTCCCATAGTAATAGCTGTCCACAACTACCAGGGGCACCTGAAAGAAAGCATCTGTTATTTGCAGGGAGCCAGAAGCTTTTAGCTGGATCTCCCAACAGCTGTGAGTGATTTTGTTAACTGAACTTGTTCCTTCTATTGTGAACCCAATTCACTCTGTCTCTGCATTGTTACAGGGACTTACCAGAAACAGGATCAATGACACCACACACCAGTTTAAGAAGCTTTTCCACCTCTGCTTCAGTACTAACAAGTCAAAGGCAATGGGAAGCCTGAAACAGAGACCAAGCATCAACTGGAGATTATCATTCCCAGACAGGCAAGAAACATCAGACAAAATGCCAAGTTCCTGGGTTCTCCTCTCCTTACCCAAGAGCTGCACTGAAAGGCCAGCCCACTAGTGCTCCAGCAGCTATGCCTAGCACTGCTACAGAGGTCTTGTCCATATACCAACCAGTCATGGCAATAATCGTGGTATACATGCAGAAACTGCTTGGGAGGAAAGCTGCAAAACAAAACAAAACAAAACAAAACAAAACAAAACAAAACAAAACAAAACAAAAAAAAAAAGAAAGAAAGAAAAGGCTTAGCCCAGCTTTCCCATGATACAAAACTACGTGATGCAAAATAAGGCCAATAACACTTCCTTCGCTCCACTGGAGGTGGGATGCTATGTTGCAAATTCACATTTCAGAGAGGACTCCAGTTCCGCCAAGGCTAGAAATACTCCTCAGTGCAACCCAGCAGTGGTTGGTTACCTGTTGACAGCACCTAAGGCTGCATGGAACATCACCTACAACACCTGCTTTACCTTCTATATTCTGCTAGACTGAAAAAGAAAATGGAAAGTATCTGCTCAAGCAGCAGCAGGAAATGTGACTTGACAACTGGGTACAGACTGGTGAAAAGTGAGTGAAGCACAGGGAGACTGAGGACTTCCTACATTGTTCCTGCAGTGTCATTTCACCATTCACCATTAAAAAAAATAAAAGACAAGAGGGGAAATACTAGTACTCATAAGCTATATTTCCATTTTGGTTTCTGCATGTGCACAACAGAACAAGCCTTTCCTCAAAGCCTGTCTTCACCTCACTCAATACTACAGCAGGTGCTTTATCAGCCTTACAGTAGCTGGCTTGGCAACGGAGTACAGCCAGCCAGAGGACAGAACACGAAGGCAGGTGACAATGCCAAAGTACAAAAAGACAAAGCCCCTCTTTGGATGAAAAAGACAAAATCCTCCTTGGATTAGAACATGTTCAAGGAAGGCAGGCCAATACCCTCTTTAAGTACCCTGGACCACTGCATATAGAACAACAGAAATTCTCTTAAAATGCCTTTGGTTTTTATGGACAAGATCATTGCTGGTGTCACTGCTATGTAAACTCACCTGCTGATGAACAAAACATCCCTGTGCTGAGTACTAAGAAAGCCAACATGAGACGACTCACATGTAGTCCAAACTTCTTGCACACAGCCCTAAGGAAGCAAAAGAGAATCTGAAACCACAAAGATGATCCCAGTACATGAAATAATAGTAGTAATGCATGCAAAGCCACAAACAATCCACAGAGCATCCCAAGAGCTTTAAGGTGAGCAACTCTCATTACTCAGACACTAAAAGCGCTCTGAAGACTGCCTTGAAGACTGCTTTGTATTTAAGATCTTCCTAAGCTATACTAGGTGCAAAACTTGGCTTCTACCAGAGTAATTTCCACTCAAAAAGTTTAATGAAGAAACTGTATCATCATCATCATTCTAAGATTCGCACCGATCTCAACTCCTCTCTGGGCACAAAGGCCTCGCTCACATTCTTTAAACAAAACCGTGGCCAACAGAAACACGGTGCAACACAATAGTCTGGAAGTCACAAATGAAAAGGCAGCAGGCAAAAAAAAAAAACTCAGCTTAGACAAGGTAACTCATAAGCTACGATATGCTCAGCAGCATCTCATTAAGTTACCTTGCAAACATGTATTTTGAAGTTTCACTGTGAAGTAATCCCACTTGCACATTTATACATCAGCTTCAGAGCGTACTTCCTCTGGCAGTAACAGCATGCTACCCACACTGCTCCAAAATATTCTCAACAGACAGATTCTAATACTCACTTATAAAAGTAGAGTTCACAAACACAGCTCAGGAATGCCAGGAAGCATCGTAGGAAATAGAAGATAAGAACCTAGGGGATGCACTCAGATTCAGAACAAGGTTTGCAATGAAGCTTACACACCTACTGCTAACAAGTGAGTCCACACAGCACAGGTTCTAACAGGATGGAGCAGCTCCAGCAGCAGTGAATGAATCTCTTTCTAGAAGTCCAGATCCTGCACCAAAGGATGGCTAAAGCTCTTGGCAGCAAAAGGCCTGCCCACTAAGTCTAACATCCTTCACAACAAAGAAAGCAAACTGAAACAAAGCCCACCGATCTGTTTTTTTCTAATTTTTTCTTACTGTTGTTTTCTAAAACATTCCTGAATTATTTTTATTCTATCTTGTGAAATACTATTTTTTTCTTTTATAGTTTACTAGGAAAATAAAAAATCAAAACAGTCACTGATAGCAGGAGCAGAAAACAACAGGAGCTTCTAAGACAAAGGGATAACAGTGACAGCTCACAGGGACCAGTGAGAGCCCATGGCTACCAAGCAACTACAAAAGGCAGGAAACACCTGCCCTGTTGGGACAATTTCTAGACCAATACAGAGCCTGGCAGAGCTTCCCTGCAAATGCCTGCTCACTCTTCCTTTGCTCTTCTCAAATTGCCTCACAAACCCCTGCATACCCTTACAGAGACGTTAGCATTTGTAGACATAGCGTTTATAAAAGCACTCATTTGTTTCCTAATTCTGACAACAAACAAAGCAGCTGTGTACTACAAACTAAAGGTGCATTTATTCACCACAAAGCAATTCTGCTGTATGTGATTTACCTTGTTAGTCTGCAGGACTCTAGCGTGGAACAAGGCTGGTAGGGCATGAAGCCACAGGTACGCATAGGAGCGGATGGCATAGGCTGGAGAGTACTCCCATGTCTGAAACCCCTTCCCATAAATGAGGTAGTGTGTCTAAAATGGAAATTAACAAGCATTTATAAAGTGTTTCACACCACAGACAGTTTGAATACAGTTTATCAAAAGGGTGTCAGAATGCCTACATTTGTGCAGGCCAGATCACAGGCTGGAAATATACCACCTGCAGTGCTGTGCCCAGGCCTGGGGGCCCCAGGACAGGAGGGATGCGGAGCTGCTGGAACAGGTCCAGAGGAGGGCACGAGGATGCTCAGAGGGCTGGAGCACCTCTGCTGTGAAGGCAGGCTGAGGGAGCTGGGCTTGTTCAGCTTGGAGAAGGCTGTGGGGAGACCTCATTGCAGCCTGCCAGTACTTGGAGGGAGCTTACAAACAGGAGGGGAGTGACTGTGTACAGAGCCTGATGGGGACAAGGGGAATGGTTTTAAAGTGAAAGAGAGGAGATGTGGGTGAGCTGTGAGGAAGCAATCCTTTGGTCAGGGCGGTGAGGCGCTGGCGCTGCTGCCCAGAGAGCTGTGGGTGCCCCATCCCTGCAGGCACTCCAGGCCAGGTGGGATGGGGCCCTGGGCAGCCTGAGCTGGTGGGGGGCAGCCCTGCCCACGGCCGGGGGTGGCACTGGGTGGGCTTTGAGCTGCCCTCCAACCTGAGCACTGCAGAAGCAGCAACCACCCACCGGCTCCCAGTAGTTGAAGGTCTCATCGCAGTCAGAGATGTTGCTGAGAAGCGCAGCGCAGAACCTGGCCGAGATGAGACACTTGAAGGCCGTGGATCCTTCGGGGGCCCACACCTGCCCCGCCTTGCTCCCGGACGGCCTGGTGCAGAGAACACACAAAGCGCGCGCTGCAAACGCAGTAACACGAGCAAACCCGCGGCGTGACGCCGGGCAAAGGCTGACAGGGGCCCGCACGCGGGAAGTCCCTTACAGCACGCAAGGGCTCGAGAAGCCGCAGCATTTCCGAACATCTCCCCGAGGACGTCCCCCGCCTTCTTCACCGCCCTCCTCCCGTCGCCGGCTCCGGCCCGGCCGTTCCCCGCTCCACCCGCAGCCCCCCGCCACCTCCCGCCCGCCCCGCGCACACAACGCGTCCCGCAGCCCCGCTCCCCCCGCGCCGCCACGTACTCCGCCCGAGCGTCCTCTGAGCCCGCCGCCTCCGGCCGCGAGCGGGCCGCCTCCCCTCCGCCCCCTCCTCCTCCTCCTCCTCCTGCCCGCGGCCGCTGCCGGGCCCCTTTGGCCGCCATGCCGACTCCGGGCAGCCGCCCGCCCTTTCGCTTCCTCCAGCGGACGCGACGGGAGCGGAGCCGAAGCCGCGGCCGCCATGCCGGGTGTGGGCACGGCCGCGCTCCGCCTGCGTCGGCTGCCGGGGGCGGGAGCTGCTCCGCGGCACGGGCGAGCGACGGGGAACGGGCGGGAGCCGCGCCGTGCGGTGCGTGCCTGCAGTGCAACCGGAGCTTCCACCGTAACCGTCTGTAGCACATCGCTGTTGTATCGTAGAGTCATCTCAGAACGGCTCAGGTTGGAGGGGAGCTCAAAGCCCACCCAGTGCCACCCCCGGCCGTGGGCAGGGCTGCCCCCCACCAGCTCAGGCTGCCCAGGGCCCCATCCCACCTGGCCTGGAGTGCCTGCAGGGATGGGGCACCCACAGCTCTCTGGGCAGCAGCGCCAGCGCCTCACCGCCCTGACCAAAGGATTGCTTCCTCACAGCTCACCCACATCTCCACTCTTTCACTTTAAAGCCATTCGCCTTTTTCCTGTCCCCATCAGGCTCTGTACACAGTCACTCCCCTCCTGTTTGTAAGCTCCCTCCAAGTACTGGCAGGCTGCAGTGACTCTTCTCCAAGCTGAACAAACTGAACTCCCTCAGCCTGCCTTCACAGCAGAGGCGCCAGCAGCTCCACATTCCTCATCATGTTCTCTCGTGCCCACTTTCTGAGCCCGTCCAGGTCCCTCTGGATGGCGTCCCTTCCTGCTGTTGTGTCCGCTGCACCACTCAGCAAACTGCTGAGGCTGCACTCCATCCCATCTCTATCACTATATATCACTCCATCCTATCGTCTGTCGCTGATGGAGATGCTGAAGAGCTCCGGTCCCAAGATGGACCCCTGGGGGACACCACTCATCACCGGCCTCCACCTGGACATGGAGCCATTGACAGCAGCCCTCTGGCTGCGACCATCCAACCAATTGCTTATCCTCCAAATAGCCCAGCCTTCCAATCCATTTCTCTCCACTTTGGAGATAAGGATGTGGTGCAGGACTGTGTCAAAGGCACAACTCCAGGCAGGTGACATCAGTTGCCCTTCCTTTGCCCACCGATGCCATCACTCCATCACAGAAGGCCACTGCATGGGTCAGGCACGCTCTGCCCTTGGTGAAGCCGTGCTGGCTGTCTCGGATCACCTCCTCACCTCAGTGTGCCTTAACAGCTCTTCCAGGAGGATCTGCTCCATGATCTTCCCACACTCAGAGGTAAGATTCCCCGGCCTGTAGTTCCTGGGTCTTCCTTTCTTCCTTTCTTTTCTTAGAATAGGAGTGTTTCCTTTTTTCCAGTCACCGCAGACTTCACCTGCCAGACACAATTTTTCAGATATGATGGAGAGCAGCTTGGCAACCACATCAGCCAGTTCTTACAGAACCATGGATGATATCTCCTAGCCCCACAAACTTGCACACATTCAGCCTCATGAAGTGTTCTCAGACTTGCTTGGGCCGATATCTCTTTTTATCTTTTATGATCAGCTTACCCTATCAAAGAAAGGCTCTACTTTAAGAAACGAGCTTTCATTACACGCGCGCACAGCATGGAGGTGTCCACTTTTTATTTTCCACATTTACAATGTAGGCAGATACTGGACTCCACCTTTGTAAGAGGCGCTGCAACACCACACAGCACTGTGAGATGCAGCCACGTTCTGCAGACAGCAGCACCTCACAGCCCTACCGCAGGGCCACATGGAGCCCTGCCCCAGCACCACACAGCCCTGCCGCAGGGCCACATGGAGCCCTGCCCCAGCACCACACAGCCCTACCGCAGGGCCACATGGAGCCCTGCCCCAGCACCACACAGCCCTGCCGCAGGGCCACATGGAGCCCTGCCCCAGCACCACACAACCCTACCGCAGGGCCACACGCAGCCGCTGAGAGATTTCCTCCCTGAAGCGCAGCTGCATGGCTGCCACCTCCCTGCGGCCCAGCGCCCTGTCGCAGCTCTGGAAGGTGAGCCGGCAGCACACACTGTTCCGGCCTGTCCCCGGCTGCTGGAAGTCATCAAGTAAATGGATGGATGCCACCGCTTCATCTGATACTTCTCTAGCAATGGTGTGAAAAGCAACATCATCCAATTGTTCCCCATCGGGAAGCCAAAAGCTGACGTCATGCACATAAGAAGGTGGGTAGAGAGAGAAGCTCCTGAAAATCCGTAGCTCTCCTGCAGGAAACTGACGGAGGAAGCGTGCGTCTGATGTCCAGAGCATGCGCCAGTCATCTATGGCACAGATGAGCATGGCCACAAGGTCCAGATTCAGTGAAACAAAGACAACAACCAAATCGCTGCCTGCTGGCTCATACGAAGCTGTCCGCACTGCACCCACACAAAAGCTCCTCTCCAAGGAGTCCCGAGTATCTGCCTTCATGCAGAGGAAGAATTGCATTTCACCAAGCTGAGATTCAAAAGCAGCAAAGTCATTGAGTTCAGCTGTTCCCAAGCTCGTTGCTTCCTGCAGACTAATGCTCAACTTAAAATCAGAAATGCTCTGGTGAAGAGAATGTATGCTGGTTTTAATTTTGTCCACTACCATCTGTATACAGCTGTTCTCTGAACCTCGGTTAACTGCACACACAAAAACCATCTCATGAAAAACAGGCATACAGTAAGGAGAGATGCGGCACTTCCTGAAAACTGGGCCAGAAAAAACGTAAAGTGTTCCTGGGACAAAAGCTGCACTTTTTATTAGTGCCTGAGCATAAGGCAGAAGGGAAGGTCTAAGATAACACCACTGTGGAGTTTGACATCCCTCTTGTACATTCTGATCTGTGTCCCCATGAAAAGCAACATGGGAAAATAAAATTGCGTTTGCCTGCCCACCAGCCATTTCTTCAGCACTTGGAGTCTCCTCTGGTCTTGGAAGGATCCAAAAAATGTTTGAGTGACAAGCAGCATTGAGGTGACCTTGGAGGAGCAGAGAAAGGCAGTAGTCAATGCTCTGCAGTGGAAAGGCTTGGCTGAGCGCTGCAGTGAGCTTCTCCTTTATTGTCTGTACTGGATGGTTTGAATTTCGCTCTAGGAAACCCCTGTGAAAAACAAAAATGCAAATTACAGACACAGCAGACAGATTTCCCTGCAAAGCCCTCCTATCATCATAACTTGAGCATGGCAATTTACTCAAAGCAGTATCAGACATCAAGCTTGCTTTCAGCAACTAGTCAAGTCTTTCACCAGGGGCACTGCAACCACTGATGTGCTGTCAGGATGCTGGGCATGTCTCTAGGCTGCAACCTACTGCTACCTGTGCTTTAGCCGGTGGAAAGGAATGGAACTTAACTGTCAGCGTCACCAAGTTTCCAGTCATCACTGGCATTACCAAGCTATGGAAACCAGTCACCTTTTCCTAGCCCTGCACAGTTTCCAAGGCATGCAGCAGGGCAAGTATGTGATGATGAGCACTCTTTACCCTAGTTAGCCTTAGTATTGCAGTAACAGCAGACACAAAGTCAGCTCCTTGTTTCTTCCAAGCTACGGTAAAATAGATTAAAAGGTTTCATTATCTGTGTGAGCAAGCATACAGTAGCCTGGCCTCAACCACGGAGTTCCTTTTTTCTTCCATAGGCTTTTTTTTAAGTAGTCCATAACCACAACCAACACAAAGCAGACTTCAAGAAGAAATGGGAAAGAAAATCCTGTACAGGGAAAAGGAAGGAATGTGAAGCAGTTCCATTTTATCAGAGACCCATACTGGTCATTCCCACTGAGAGGACGCACGTTACTGCCAAAGTGACACCAGTTGTGTAACTTACCTGTTAATTTTATCCACAAGTACTTGCGGTACTTGAAATGAAATTCTTTGTCCGTTCAGCTCTGTCTCACAGATCAGAGGCTTGCAATACAGAAGCGGTGCGCTCCGAGTAAAAACGTGGTTTAAAGCACCCTCTATGCAGAACGATTTATCTTGACTCCTGGCAATACATAAAAGCACAGCAAAATCATTGACTCTTTCCTAGATTTAATGTGACATAAGGGAGGGTGACAAAGATAATTCACCTTAACACTAACACGACTCTTGCTGAATCCCTGATCTTGTTAGACAACAAAAATACAACTTAGCATATTTATATGGATAGATGGTCCAATACTGAAATAATCTGCACAAATAAATTGTGTGGTCTGCATCTTGCTCTGAGTGATCTGTTCTACCTAGCTCTGCAGTTGAACTGCAATTAACTGACTGCTGGAGGTCCCTGCCAACATCCACCATGCTGTGACTATCTCAATCAGACACATATGCCACAGTCCCCACATTGTCTTTAGGCTAAGATTGACTTTTACTCTGAAATGGACCATTTTAACCTTTAAAATTCTAAGATAATCTGATCTTTTCAAGAGTACTTTCTCAAGAAGCTTGCATTTTCTTCTGGGCTATTCTGCTTATAGGCAAAGATGAACTGCAGCTGTTCTACGGAAAATTAAATAGTTTCTCTCTCCAATAAACAACATACTAAAAGATCACATGAGTGTGACAGGCACGATGAAAGGACATGTATCTGCCACGCCGCAGGTACCTGTACCCCGTGCATTCATAGCCATGGGCAGTCTCTGCTCGGAAGGGATGAACATCGCTCAGGATGAAGCCAGCTCCTGCTGCCACCGCCACCACCTGCCAGCTGTTGTGCCACTCTCTCCTGGGCTGATCAGCAGGCGTGCCACCCTGACCCCTGCAGAGAGCCACGCGGACCTCTCCATCCTGTGTCAGCATTTCTGCACAGCTGGAAGGGAAGCAGGCAACAAGAGGCGCTGTGTTAGCACAGCCAGAAATCATGTAACACCTGCAAGGAGCTGCAGCGGTGCTAGGAAGGTATGTTGCCCTGCAAGGCTGTAGTGAGGTGGGGGTCAGCCTCTGTTCCCATGTAACAGCAACCAGATGAGAGGTGATAGTCTCAAGTTGTACCATAGGAGGCTCAGGTTGGATATTAGGAAGAATTTCTTCTCTGGAAATATGGTCAGGTACTGGCACAGGCTGTCCAGGGGGTGGGGAGCCACTGT